CACAGACAGGCCCCTCCCACGATAGTTTGATTGACAGTAGCGTTTCAGCACAGACTGGACTGGTGTCTTACCTCAGACCCGCCCTGAGTGAGCTGTCATCAGTCCGCCATTGTTTCACCGCCGGAGCAGATGTAGACAAGAATGACTCCTATAGCGATTGAGGTGTTCTGTTGTTGGATGTAGTAATTAACTTAGCAGTCCTCATTTAAGGCTGATTTATACTTCTGCATCGGACCTATGCCGTAGCTTACGCATAGACGCACACCCATACGCCGTAGCCTGACGTGCACCTCTCCAAAAATCTAACAGCGCGTCCATAGCTCATTAACATTTAAAGGAAAATGCTACAAAAACGGCTTGATCTGAAAAGAGCTGTTTTTGACAGGGTAAAAACTGTTTTTTACACTACCATTGAGAAATTTTAACCAAACTATGTTAAAGACTTTCCATTAAGACCCTAAAGAATCATATCAACTTGTGGAAAATGGGCATCCTATGACCCCTTTAATAATGACTTTGGCATCAGACTTCATTCTCTCAATCTCCTTCTCTCTCAGTTTCTCCTCCTCTTTAGATTCTCTTTGCCTGTCTATTTTTCACTTTTTTGCTAAACAAGTTACACGTGTTTCAAGAAATATGACTAATGGACATTCTCTCATCGAGAGCCTTGGCTCCACGCGAACAGTCAACATTTTCATCTCCCTAAATATCAATTAAATTAAGGATTAAGATTACATTCATTTTTAATGTCTTAAAAGCTATAACCCATCTCAGCTACTATTTCTAACACTTCAAAGACCTGCAAAGGCTTGTGAATCTGCAGCCACAGGGTTTGTTTGACAGAAGAAAACCAGACTGAACCTTTGAGAAAGAAAGAGAAAAAAAGAAAGAAATAAAGAAGGAAGGATAAAATAATGAAAAAGGAAGACAGAAAAGACAAAAAGTAATGAAAGAAAAGACATAAACGAAAAAAAAAAGACAAAATGAATTAAAGAGAAGGCTGGAGGAAGGAAGGGTGAAAGGAAGGAAGAAAAATTAAAAAGAGAGAAGGGAATAAACATAAGACATATAGAAAGAAAACAAAACGAAGGAATGATAAAAGAAGGGAATATAGAGAAGACAAAGCAAGAAAACAAAAGGAAGGAAGGAAGGATAAAAGAATGAAAAAGGAAGAAAGAAAAGACAAAAAGTAATGAAAGAAAAGACAAATGAAATAAAGACACAAAATGAATTAAAGAGAAAGCTGGAAGGAAGGAATGTTGAAAGGAAGGAAGAAAGAATAAAAAGAGAGAAGGGAATAAAGAGAAGACAGAAAGAAAACAAAAGGAAGGAAGGGAGGGAGGATATAAAGAAAGAAGGGAATAAAGAGATGACAAAGAAATAAAACAAAAGAAAGGAAGGGAGGAAGGAAGGAAGAATAAAAAGTAAGAAGGGAATAAAGAGAAGACAATGAAAGAAAACAAAAGGAAGGAAGGAAGGACGGAAGGAAGGAAAATAAAGAAGGGAATAAAGAGAAGACAAAGAAAGAAAACAAAAGGAAGGAAGGAAGGAAGGAAGAAAAATAACAAAAGGGAAGGAAGAGAAAAATGGGAAGGAATATTGAAAGGAAGGGAGGAAGGAAGAATGGAAGGAAGAAAAAAATTGAAAAAGAAAGAAAGGAATAAAGAGAAAACAAAAGAAGGAAAGAAGAATGAACAAAGAGAATGTGGCAATGTATCATTTCATTTAAAAAAACGGCACATCTGTCCACAGGGAGCATTTAGAACTCCTCTCTGAGGGATACTGGAACACTTTTGTCACAGCAGTGAGTCTCTCTCATTACAGCTACACACACACACACACACACTCACACTGGCAGAACAATTAGTGCGCTTGTTAGCAATGTTAAAACATAACTTGGTAGCATGCACCAGCTCAAAAACTGACCTACATGCATCCCAACACACACAGGCCAATTTGGCAGAGGTGCACACACTCCCCCTCTGCCCCCACCCCCCACCCCCACACACACACACACAAACATGAATCTGAAAGCTTGTTATGTAGTGTAGCTCTCAGCTGTCGGCTCGGTTATGATGCTCAAACTGCTGCTGTTCCTCTCAAGCAGTGCCAGATGTATACATTCATCCAAAACATGACTTCAACACGTTACAGGCGTTGAAAATATCCCCAAAGACCTGCCATCATTTGAAGTCCAACAACATCGGCTTGACAAGACATGTGAGAATATATAAGTCAAGCGCCTAGGTCTTCTATAAAACAGATATAAAAAAGAAACAGCTTGTGCTGTCATAAACAGGAGCAGACGGAGCAGTCCAGACAGGACTGCGATGTGAGATGCTCGGCACTTACTGGTGGTGTTGTAACGGACTCCGAGGAAGGTCTCTGGACAGGGAGATGATAATGCACTGAGCTTTCCGCTATGTGCACAGAATCAATACTAACTGTTTTAAATTGAGTCAATCAGCACAAAGTGTTTCCTATTACCTACGCAGGAGATCATTTAACACTGGCTATTTTCTATGTGGTATCTGGGCAAGGATCAAAATGAAATGTTATTTCTTAAGAAACTGGAGAGTAAACATATTCAGAGGCTCTGGCATAAGCACTTAAGGCTATTAACGGTCGATGATGGCTGCATGGGAGACACGTGGGATTCATGAAGATGGTTTCAATTGAATATCTCTTTATCCATCTTTATCTCTGCGGCTTTCTTCTATGTGTTTGTGTGAGCTGCAGGGCACACTCGTATCGTCTGAATTGGCCTCTTTTCCAGAATTCAGAGTTTTTTTCACACATTGTTCTTACAATCAGAAAGGATCTGTGGAGCCCAGCAGAGATTAAAAAGAGTTTTTTAATCTCCAGCTTCCCTGGAGACTTTCACATATATGTCTTAATCCACTGCATTCTTGGGTACATTTTATTACATTAAAAAAAATGCATTTGTCCATGGGACCATCTGTTTGGCCAAACAATGGAAGACATATGTTGTGTTTGCGAAAGCTGTTTTAAAGCACATTATTTTATTTATCTGGTTTTTCTATTGGCACAAAAATGACACACTACATCTTTCCATTTCTGAATGTACTATTTGTTATTTATTATTAAAAACAGAATCTCAAGTGCATGATATCATGGCCAAAATTTATTGCAGCGTCTAAAGTAATTTCACATGCTCAAAGCCTACACTAAATATTTTCTTGGGAATATCACAATCATGACCACTGGCTGAAACACTGTGTTTCTGTTTGCAATATGTCATATTTACAGATAAAGACCTGAGTTGTAAACTGACCTGTAGAATTGGTGGGACTTGACGTCTGATTCCACAGGATCAAAGTGCGAGCTGGGAACAGAAAAGAGAAGAAGAAAGAAAACATTTATTAATCTCATACTTTTTCAGTCTTTTTCAGATTTTTATTTTTTTTTTGTGATTACTTTAAAGGGTTAGTTCACCCAAAAATGAAAATGAAAATGAAATATTTTCTTGGGAATATCACAATCATGACCACTGGCTGAAACACTGTGTTTCTGTTTGCAATATGTCATATTTACAGATAAAGACCTGAGTTGTAAACTGACCTGTAGAATTGGTGGGACTTGACGTCTGATTCCACAGGATCAAAGTGCGAGCTGGGAACAGAAAAGAAAAGAAGAAAGAAAACATTTATTAATCTCATACTTTTTCAGTCTTTTTCAGATTTTTTTTTTTTTATGATTACTTTAAAGGGTTAGTTCACCCAAAAATGAAAATGAAAATGAAAAATGAAAAGAATACGACAATACTTTTTGTGTGCAAAGAAAACAAAAATAACAACTTTATTCAACAATTTCTTCTCTTTCGTGTAAGTCTTTGATGCACGTTCATGACAGTACCACGCATGTGTGTGGTGCTGCTGACGCAGAAATCAGCGTAGAAACCAGATGCTTTGCTGCTTTTTTGTGATCAGTGGAATACACATGCATGCATGGTACTGTCATGAACGTGCATCAAAGACTTACACGAAAGAGAAGAAATTGTTGAATAAAGTTGTTATTTTTGTTTTCTTTGCACACAAAAAGAATTATCGTAGCTTTATAACATTACGGTTGAAACACTGATGTCACATGGACTATTTTAATGATGTCCTTACTACCTTTCTGGGCCTTGAACGTGTCAGCTGTGTTGCTGTCTATGGAGGGTCAGAGAGCTCTAGGATTTCATCAAAAATATCTTAATTTGTGTTCTGAAGATGAACGAAGGTCTTATGGGTTTGGAATGACACGAGGGTGAGTAAATGATCACAGAATTTTCATTTTTGAGCGAATTATCCTTTTAAGACGCATGAACACGTCTAATAAATGCATGGGCCAAAACAACATAGTGAATGGAAGACAATGTATAGCATCTAAAATAAATATAAATGCATCTACAACCATTTAGAAATGCAGAATCAAACAGAAGTGTGAAACACACATATATGAATACTTAAAGAAAACATGCTGACTTTTATATATATATACTAATAATATAATATAATATAATATAATATAATATAATATAATATAATATAATATAATATAATATAATATAATATAATATAATATAATATAATATAATAATAGTCACACTCCTCCGGAGTGGGGAGCGAGGAGACGTGGGAATAACCTTAAACAAACAAACTTTAATAAACCAAAAGGCTGGAAAATCAGGAATGCAGGAGACATAGAATGACGTAAGACACCGAACACTAGACACAGGAAACACTGGGCTTAAGTATATCTTAATTTGCTTTCCAAAGGTGAACGAAGGTCTTATGGGTTTGGAATGACACGAGGGTGAGTAATTAATGACAGAATTTTCATTTTTGGGTCAACTAGGCCTATTCCTTTAAATAGATTAATAAACAAATACATTAATCCTAAAAATGAAAATAAATTAAATACAATTTATTTTCACAGTAAAAATTGTGAAAAAGCTAAATAAATTATGTACAGTAAGCATTACTTATCAACGTTTCCTGTGCAGAAATACGTGTATACTGCAGTGCTTCATACACATAATACAATCTCATACAGAACCTTCTCAATCAATAGGTTTAATGGCTTGAAACACCTTATATTGCTCAATGACTGGTTGATGATGACAATCCTGGCTGAAAGTGTGACACTTACAAATGCTCCTACATTCACTTGTTCTTTCATCTCAACACAAGCTGCGATCAGATTTAATTTACAGCACATATTTCCGGGTTTCTTGCTGACAAAAGATCAAAGCCTGCAAGATCATATCTATGTAAATAAAACAAGGAAGACAAAATGTTGCTCTAGCAGACAAGGCTGTTTGTCAAATATAATAATAATGGAATAACCTTAAACAAACAAACTTTAATAAACCAAAAGGCTGGAAAATCAGGAATGCAGGAGACATAGAATGACGTAAGACACCGAACACTAGACACAGGAAACACTGGGCTTAAGTAAACAGAACATAATGAGGATAATTAGGGGAACACAGGTGAATCAAATGGGCTCTGGAAGCCTCTATGGACAGGCTTACACGGGACGGAACGCCTCCAGGGCGGTACCCGTTCCGGGACCCATGCCGGAGCGGGCAGCTCGGGGAGCCATGGCGGAGCAGGATGCACAGGGAGCCATGGCGGAGCAGGTAGCTCGAGGAGCCATGGTGGAGCAGGCAGCTCGGAGAGCCATGGCGGAGCAGGCAGACTAGGGAGCCATGGTGGAGCAGGTAGCTCGGGGAGCCATGGCGGGCCCCCCCAAAAAAATTCCTTGGGGAAAATTTCGGGTTCTGAGGCCCTCCGTGGGCCAGGTGTAGGAACAACGGCCCTCCCTGAGCTTGACTCGGGATCTGAGGTAGAGGCTGACATTTTTTCGGGAATCCCACGGGATGAGAAACAAAATCTGCATCTGTTAATCGTTTATATTTTATATTAGTTCATGTTGCTTTTGTGCAATAGATGAATAACAATTTATTTGTTTTAGATATTTTATGTTTAGATATTTCTATTTTGCGGGAGTCCCGTGAATCATTTTATTCTCCCGCATCCCGCACATACACAAGTCTCTGCACTCGCCTATCAAGTCTTGTCCCGCGCTGCACTCTGTTGCGTCGGGTCTCGCTGGAGCAGGTCTCTAATCCACTGGCACTTGACTCGACAGTGCGTGAGCTACATCCTTTTTACAATCTAGATTATAAATCACTGCATTCTGCCAGCAATGTAACGCGGCAGTAACATATAGAGACCTCGGCTTGTAACTATACTCTAATTACTATTTTGAAAATTATAACACGTTAAATTACTCCATTACTAAAAAAGTAATCAAATTACAGTAACGCGTTATTTTACCAGATCTTTTGTGTATCTGCAGTCAATCTGTTGTTTACAAGGTCTCATAACATTTAAACAGTGCACAAACATGATGAGTTGGAAAGCTTAGCTTTGATAATTTTGGATGTTTAAAACAATTACATACAGACAAAGTGAACAAATAAGAAAAAAAATTATCTAAATTATTCTGAGAAATTTTTTAACTGTACAATATTCTGTTTGTCAAGCAAATAGCATTTGAATTTTTACTGTAGGGATTTGTGCACCTTTGCTTATCAAATCATGGTTGAATTTGTTTCTCTATTCACACTCCTGTCTGCTGTTCACCGAGATAAAACAAGCACACATCTATTATTCTTCTACTCACAAAAGCAATGGACAGTTGCTCTGGCTCCATGGCACTGGAGCAGAACACACACACACTGGAGCAGAACAACCCAAGCTAGCATGTCACCGTGTCTGTTCATCCTCTGGCCCGGAAATAACAGGTGAACGAACGGGGATATCGCTGCTGAATAATTCATAATGGATATGAGCAGCTCTGCTCTCGAAGTCTTTTCAAATCGCAGAAACGGATGTGCAAAACAATGCATTCTCAGTACCGTGCTGTAAACATATTCATTTAAAAATGAGGTCCCACCCTGCTGAATGAAGTTTGTTTATTTGGCAGCACAATGAGGGACACTGCTGTTCCTGCAAATGTAATTTATCCTGACATCCATGTTTTTAGTTTTTATGGGAACAATATGCCTCTCAGGAAATAAATGCATATGATCTCAACGTGCTTTATACAAGCTACTGCACATCTCTCAGGGGGAAAAAAAACATTCTCAAAACATCTGCTGATCTGAGCAGCGGAAAAAAACATAATAATGGACACTTACCAATAACTGTGACTATAGTATATGGCTGGGCGATACAGCTAAATCAACTCTAACGATTTTTTTATGTTTTACAAACATAATGGATATGAGCAGCTCTGCTCTCGAAGTCTTTTCAAATCGCAGAAACGGATGTGCAAAACAATGCATTCTCAGTACCGTGCTGTAAACATATTCATTTAAAAATGAGGTCCCACCCTGCTGAATGAAGTTTGTTTATTTGGCAGCACAATGAGGGACACTGCTGTTCCTGCAAATGTAATTTATCCTGACATCCATGTTTTTAGTTTTTATGGGAACAATATGCCTCTCAGGAAATAAATGCATATGATCTCAACGTGCTTTATACAAGCTACTGCACATCTCTCAGGGGGAAAAAAAACATTCTCAAAACATCTGCTGATCTGAGCAGCGGAAAAAAACATAATAATGGACACTTACCAATAACTGTGACTATAGTATATGGCTGGGCGATACAGCTAAATCAACTCTAACGATTTTTTTATGTTTTACAAAAGTAAAATGCAATAATCAAATAATAATGTTTTCCAGTAAATTAACAGGAAAACATGGAGGCTACTTAATAATTTTATTATAATGAATAGAATTTGAATTATTATTGAATTATATTATTTTATGCTCTAATATAACAATAAATTGTAATAAACAGCAATGTTTACATAAACGTCTACTCAAAGTGCAAATTAATCAAGTTATAATCAATTCACTCAAACAGACAAACAAACTCGAACTGATTCTCAGCTGTATTATTAAACAATGAGAATCAGAATTTGAAAAGGACACTTATTTAATGCATATCCATCGGAACATGGTTTGTACTGAAAATCAAAAACAAGATGTTCAGCCCTTAATATGTTGGTTATGTTTGGCGTCAAATTACGTGATAGCAGTGCAGTGGAGTGACTGAATGATGCAGAGGACACCCACAGCTCACAGTGTGAACAAACAGAAATATTTGTGTGCAGATGTATTTGTGCTCATCTGTTTGTGTGCATATGAGAGAGAGAGAAGTAAGAGAGTGCACAAAAAAAGGCTAAACATATTTGTGATCACACGTTCAGCTTTTGAGCTTACTTAAAACAAGCCTACGTAATTTACAAACATATCTTTCTTACGCATACAGCTTACTGCACTTGTTACAAGACTAAGTTTAAGTAAAATACATAAATGTGAAGGGTCACTGAAATGCATAAAATGCATTTAAATGAAGACGATAATAATAATAAAAAATGGTTAGAGTTTTATTACTTATTGTGTGATTAATTATATATTCTGTGAAACTCCACATAGCCATAATACAGGGAAACAAAGCCATTTGAACAGAAAAATTACATTCTCCTTGTACTTCAGTGTTAATTACATTGAGTGGGCTCAGTATTACAGTTAATCACAGCTTTGTCGT